CACTGTATCTTCCCTACGAGTAAAAGTTGATGGGAAGTTTTTTTTTTTCAATGGAATATAGAATTTCCAATGTCTGATTGTGTTATCTTATATATTGTCACATCGTTCATAACCAAACAATATTTAAACAAAAGAAAAATTAACGCACATGGGAGATAACCCATAGAAAAGACACCATTTTCTTCTAAAACGTATCCGGTTTCTATTACCAATATACTACGATTTAATTAGTACGAATTTTTTCAATCTGTTAATCTAAGAAAAATTATTTTAAAAATACATTTTTCGAAATAAATAAAATATCGATCTTCTAAAATGTAATGATTCTTTGTTTTTTATTGTATTTTAAAGTCAATTGTTCTTTTACATAATGATAATATTAAACAAAATTCTTTGCAATCAAATATAGAAAATCGTTCATCGATTAGTTCAATATCTCTTCCTTTTCTTTCACAACAAAATTTTTCAAAAATTATTTCAAGAAAATTTCATTCAAAAAATTCATTATCATCACAAGATACAATTGAACTAAACGAAAATTTATTATTTAAAAAAAATAGAAGTCAAGGAACACAAACTAAATTATTTGCTATTCTATTACCAAAAAGTCCATTAAGTATAATGAAACAAGCTAAAATTGAAGATCAAACATTAATAAATATAACACGAACTTGTCAAGTAAATACACTTTCATATTTAATTAAAACAAATGAAAATCAAACAAAAATACAATATTCATTAGAAAATATTTCAAATATCAAACAAATTGTTCTTGATAATAAAATTCGATTAAATAATGAATTATTATCTAAAGAAAAAATTTCATCAACAGAAACAAATCATCAAATTTTAATTGATCATGAACAAATAATCGATGTATCTACTATTGAATTCGATAGAAGTGAATTACTTGATAATTTTCAAGAAGAAAAAATGAATTCCACATTAATAAACGAAAAGATTCATTCGAATGAAGAACAGTCAGAAGAATTTATCTTAATGTCATCACCATTCAAATGTATTAACACTTGTGATATGATTGATTTAGATGGATCCATTACTCCAGTAGTTTCTCTCGTCAACGATGACATGAACTTACTATCGATATCATCTGATCAACAATATTGTCAACCTATGCATATATCCAATCTCGAACACACTGATACGCAGCTTAAGATTTATAGAAAATCTTTCAATAATTCAAATATTCATATTATCAAGTAAGAAAAACTATGGAACAAAAAAATACTCTACATGTAAAATGAACAGATTAAATGTTAAGATTATTTCATTATTTGTTCAAAAAAAAAAATATATTAATAATAAATTTCAGATGCTCTACCAGTAATAATAACAATGAACAATTAACATTCAAGCAAAGAAATCATTCGTTAGCATCTATTGACTATTTATCATCAAATACTTATCAAATCTCAAAATTATTTCATTTAAAACTAAATTCTTATCGAAAAAGACGACAATATCGAAATAAAAAACGTATTTTTAGTTTTCTTCAACGTCAATATCATCGACAAAAATCAAAAATTTCTCAGTTACACCTATCTGAACATCCTTCTTCATCGTATTCATCATTGATAATGCCAATGGATCATTACAAACAATTTGATAACTGTCTATTGACAACTCAAACTAATACAATTAAACATAACATGTCATTTAATCGATCTCAACAATCTATTATTAATTTACATCTAAATAATTCTGATGATATATGTCAATATAAAGCATATGATCATATAATAGTAGCTAGAGCATCAAAAACTTCTACAGCTTGCAAACAATTACAAACATTATTAAATAATCATGATACTTTTTTAGAACAATTTATTGATTCACAACTTCTATTAACATGTAATAATGATTATAGATCAATTTGTATTCTTATTGATGATCATAAACAATCGGAACAATATCGATCATCATTTCTTCATTATATTTATACAACTTTATCAAATACTCTTAAAAAAATTTTTGAAAATGATTCAATACAATTAACATGTATGAATTTAGCTTTTTTTAATAATTCTCTATGTGATATTATTAATATGCAACGATTACGTTTGATTGATACAGGTATATTCAAAAACAAAAAAAGTAGTTTATTCTCTTCGTAATCCGTACTTAAAGTGAACCGTAATAGTTTAAGACATTTTTTACTTCGATGTTTTCTATGAAAGAAAAAGAAGGTAAAATAATATATTTTGAGTGTCATATAAAGTTAGAGTCAAGACCAATTCTGAATCTAATTGATTGTAGCATGAAGAAAAAGAACGAACTTTAATTTATCTTCTGCAGACAAAAGTCTAAGACTTAATACTGATTAAAATTTAATTAATACTCGAATAATAATTAAGAAAAGTAAACGCTAACTATAGACTTCAGAACTTAAAAAAAAAATAGTGCATTTTGCATAGTAGATTTTGTTTTATCAAATGAGACGTTGCACTGTTCTGTGTAATGTGTCAATCATCTGATACCATCTTTTTATCTTTGATCACTAATTTCAACGATGATCTTCAGCTATTTTTCGTTTGCTTCAAATCGTAATATTTTCAGAGTGTTTTGTCTGATGATAAAACATATTGCACAGAAGAGTGCAACATCTCAATTGTTAAGACAAAATCTGCTCTACAAAATGCATTGTTTTTTTTTCAAGTTCTACAATCTATACTTAGACCTTACTTTTCTTAATTATCAACAGAGTATTAATTAAACTTTAATTAGTGTTTAGGAAAAATTCTATTATATACAATGTTATTCACTTTTCAATGTTTCTTTCAACAGTATATTTGAAGATCAAAATTTGTAATAAAATATTTCTATGGTTAGTAATTGTTAAGATTAAGTTATTGTAACTAAATTTTTATACTAAAATGTAGTCTGTTCAATTCTGCATTGAATGGTATATTTATTAAAATTGCCTCTACTTTTTCGATAACAATATGATAAACAAAATATTAAAAGTACCTTAAACTTTTAGTCAGAGATGAAATCGGTTTGGATTTTTCACTACCGGTACCAGCCTGAGTAGAACACACCGAACCTGATCGGCCCGGCCGGTGTGAAATCTATACCGATATTAGACTAATAAGTTGTCGTGTTATTCCATCTGTGGATAGTAATATTGATAGTTTGCATAGACCTTGACTCTAACTTTATATGGCACTCTCAATATGTCTTTTATCTTCTTCTTTTTTAAAAAAAAAACACGTATGTGAAAATGATGTTAAACTTTTGCAATCCACTTTATTTCTAGGTAGAAGAATACTTCTTCAACCATCATGTGAAATAGCATTAAGAACTCTTGATGATATAAATATAGCGATGAATCGTCTGAGTACAAAAATGTCATTTGCTCATCAAATATTTATCATTAATTTTTATAGTGAACGATCATCTTTATCTGGTTCATTTCTATTTTTACAATTAGCACCTATATGTTCTATAAGATCAAAAGGTTTATTAACTAATTTAAATTCAACAACATATTCCGTATTGAATTTAATACGACAATTAAGTAATGGTCAATTATTCAATCATAATAGAGCAAAACGATATCTTTTGAATGACTATTCATTAAATCGTCTTTTGAAAAATTATCTATTTTCTCCACAACAAACAATGACTGTTATTACAATCAAATCTAAACAACAACAACAACAACAACAACAAAGGAACATTTAGTAATAAAATCTTTGATTTATTCAAACATGAAAGGAGAAAATATTCATTAGTTTTAATTAAATAACGACAATTACTAGCAATGATATACTATAATTTTTGACTTATAAAATTAAAATTACAAGATAATATTTGTTGTTACTTGTTGAATATTCAATAAATTTCGTATATAGTTTCTTTTCAAAATATTATAATAAGTAAAACAAGACTATATCATTAGTTTAATACTTTTTATTATTCTATTTCGGATATCTCTATATAAGTTGAAAGAATAGAATCAATTACATCAAAATAGATAATTAATAATATAAATATATATAAGAAAAATATAAAAAATAATTCTAATAAATTATTTGAAAAAAATAAAAACTATTCTAAATCTTCTTATGACTTTCATTTCATTTGTTATTTTCTTTTCAATATTTCCACTGGTGTACTTTCAATTTGTAAAAATGGACCAGTAAAAGCCTAAAAGAAAAAAAGAAATCTATAATATAAAATAAATAAAAATGTACATAACTTACTGTTATTGAAAGATTTGGAATTTCTAAATTATGTACCGTATGATAACCTGAATAATCTTTTTCTTCAGGTCGTGATTGTCGAATAGCTTGATTTTGAGAATCTTTTGCTACCTGAATAAAAAAAAAAAAAACAACAAAAAATTATTTCTTTTATAATTTTTTTTTACCATTAGTAATGGATATTTTGATGTACGTGCAACAAATGATTTCCATTGTTCAAGTCTTTTTTCTTGAAATATATGATTTCTTATTAACTTCAAATAAAAGAATACTACTTATAAAAAAAAAAGTAATTTTCATTTTTGTTTTTTTTACTTCATTATAAAATTCTTTTTCTAATTGTAAATCATATTTATGATGTTGTTCTAAGATATAAGTTTGTGTTGCAACAACAGCTATTATTATAAATATATAACAATGATGTATTTATTACTTTTTAGTTTTTAGTTTTTCATACCTAATGCACGTTCTTCTGTTGCTCGTAAGATAGTATCTGTTGCTTCATTATCTGGTGCAATTAATTTTACACCTTCCATATCAAGTTCACTTAGAATTTCTTGCCATATTTCACCAATTTTAAAATCAAGAAAATTTTCAATTATACATATTGTAATAAAATCTTCTTCATGTAAACCAGGTAATTCACTAAAACCTAATTTACAAAAAAATCCATAAATTTTTGATCGCATATTATCAATTAAATCTAAAACTGATCGTGATGGTTCAAAATGTTTAAGTGATGTTAATGGTACGGATTGTTGAAGAAGACCCATTAATGGTTTTGTATAATCATTAATTACACCTTTTTCTGTTCGAGCAACCTTTAGAAAAAAAAGAAAAATCAATACAAAATAAAATAGAATAAAATAAAAGTTTAATTTTTACATATGTTTCACGTTCTTCATCTCGCCATAATTCACAAAGTACATGTGTAAAATATTCTTGTTTATGTCCTTGCCATGTCATAATAAAATGAAGACATTTTATATTCTCTGTTAAATCTAATACACAACCAAGAATAATATTTTGTAAAGATTTTGGATTTGTCTATTTAGAGAGAGAAAAAAAAAAGATTTTCGATTAATATGAAGAAATTTTTTTGTTTATACTTCAATTAAATCAAGTAGAGCAAAAACACCTTGTTTTTGAATAAATTCGTCTTCATTGATAACACTACCAACAACACAACACCATACACAATCAATCGCTGCAACAAGTAAACGATGATAACCAAGACCACCACAAACATAAGGAGATTCAATCAAAAGTATTTGAATTAACATTTCAATACCTTCAGAACCAAAGATTTCCTAATGAAAAACAGAAAAAAAGATTTTTTTTTTAAACTTAAAAGCACATTAGAAAAAACTCTTCTCCTTACTTTTCTATGAACATCTAATTCACCTAAACAACTTAAAATAAATAATCCATCACAAATAATATCTAAATCTATATAATCTATATGCATTGATTTTTGTTGAGTCATAACTTTTAAATATCCTTTATAAAACAAAAAATAAAGAAAAATTCAATAAAAGATAAACATCTTATTCAAACCAGTAATTGATGGAATAATTCCTTGATCACATAAATCAATATGAATACGTTCATCCCTTGTTGAAACAAGACTACGAAATAATCGAAGTATATATTTTAATTGTGATCGTTTAGTATTTCGACCACCTTTACCAAAATAACTATTTCCTTCACTTTTATATTCCTCTTAATACAACAAAAAAAAAATAAAATAAAAAAAAAACTTTGTTTTTACCATTATTTATTGTCCATTCATAAAATACTAAAAGTCTTGTACCAATACCATATTCAAAATATTCATTTAATGAATATGGTAAAAGAATTGAAAGAGCTGTAAGTGCATGTAATTGAAGATCTTCAAATTGTGATAGTTTCCATTCAAATATATTTATTTGATGATCTTTTTTTCTTGGTAAAGGTTCAATATAAGATAAAAAAGCATGTAAAACTCGACTACTAGTTATTAACTTTAAAAAGACAAAAAAAACAAAACAAAATTCAACTTCGAATATATAAAACATACTTCATGCATCATTGGATTACGATTAAGTATAATAACTATATTAAATAATAACTTTTTAAATTCAAAATCTTCATCACATGTTGTTAATTTAAATGATTTTACTAATGGATTATTACTACGTACTAAATATGAATAACAGAATTATTTAAATAAAAAATTTAAATTTTATTTACATTCAGGATAAGAAGCAAACAAAAGTAATTGCTTAGCGAAACCGGTTTCGATGACTTGAAAAAAAAAAATGAAAAAATTTTATCAAAAAAAAAGAAAAAGAAGAAAACTTTCAATACCTGGAGCATTGGGATTAATATTAAGAATAAGAGAACAAACAACAAGAATATCATTTCTGAAAGAAAAAAAAACAAATATAATTTTTGATTAATTTATTTTATTAAATAAATATTCTAACCTCAATTGACGATGATATTGACCATGACTTTGTGTAACTTGACCAAAAAATGCTTCTTTTAGAAGACTAAATAAGAATAATATTCGAGTGAAATTGATATTTAATAATAAACCTTATAGTCACACGTGAATTTAATTGATCACATATTTGTTCATCGGGACCATATTCAAGTAAATTCCATAATAATTCAACTGTACGAAATAAATGCCTTGAAATAATAAAAATTTATTTAAACGAATTGTAAAACTTAAACAATTCGAACTCTGACGTATAGTAAAGCTTTGAATACAGCTATATAAAACGATTTGCAATACGAGCAGCTAGCAGTATGTTGAGAATATGCAATGCTGGTGTAAATACTGACAGTGAATTATCAGTGTAGGGCCCATTGAGACATTAACTACACTGAGTAGATCGTCAGTAAATTGAGATTGCATTTTTTTTCTATAGTGTTTAAATTGACGAATTGAGAGAAATGTTTGTTCTTTAATATCTTTTAATAATGTTTCGAAAGAAATCAAATTTTCGTATGAATAGTTTTATTAGAATTATTAAGAATGAATTCAACATTAGTAAATGATGATAGAACATTAATATTAGTTTATGATGAATGTCAATAAGATCCTGCTGAGAAGCTAAATTTTGACTATTCAATTTTGATTTCTCGTGATTCATATCCTTTGTTTTAAGCAAATGACAATAATTAATAATAGATTTCATTCAATAATATTATTCATATTCTTCTACTCGAATGTAATATTCTAACAGATTGATACAGGGATAGATTCAAAGTTTTTTCTTCATCGGTATGTTCTTTGTAATCGTTGATGGAAAAGTTTTGCATTAATTTTATTTTCAGCACAGCATGACAACAACATGTCGTGCAGACTTAATCGTTTTCTTATTAGACAGAGCAAAGCTGTTTAAAAATATTTCGTTTAAAAACCTTATCCAAGGTCAAAAAGTTCTCTATACATATTTTTAGAATTTAGAAGAAAATCTTCACTTACTAAGAAAGTTAATCTTATTTTTTGTCTTTTATCGAATTTTGTAGTGCTATCAGAGAGCATTGTAAACAGATACAAAAAAAACAAGTTTTCAAGTTATCAATTGAATTTGAAATCGGTATTCGGTAGCGAAAAATTAAGACTTTTTTCAGCACCTATCGAATCTTCACGACGAGTTGTTGTCAAGCTATATTAACAAAATTAATGCAGAACTTTTGCATCATCTGTTATTTAACTGAATAAAGTTACTTACTTTCTTTTTTACTTTTTTGAAGTTGAATATATTTGTACAGGTAGTGCTTCATCATTTATCACGAACTTATATTTTCTATACGTGACTTTATAGGTAGAAAATTTTACGTCTATTAATCAATTTCTTAGGTTTCCTTTCAATTTTTTTTAGGTATGATGGATTACTTTTTATTTTTGACCTTCTTCTTACGGGGTTTCATCTTCAAGAACACTTTTTTTTTTCTTCGATGTAACTGATCTGAATAATTAATGCATTTATGAAATCTCATAACTACTTTCTTTTGTTTTTGGTTTTACAATCTTTTTCTCTCAAAATGATAAATGTTTCAATTTCTAATATAAATATTAAAGAATGAAATAAAATTTCTTACTCTCCTGTTGGATCAGTATCATTTATTCTTGATACTAAACGATTTATACAATCATGAATTAACATTCTTGCCACACAAATAGCTAGAATAGAATTTAAATATACATTAAATTCGTCAAAAAAAATCATTGAACATACAAGATTTCGATGAATAAATTTGTAATAATTTTATTATATGAATACGAAGTGATAAATCATTTTCTACCATAGAAAGTGCCTTCAAAATATTAATAAAACATGCGAAAGATACAAAGAAAAAAAAAATGTTTTGATTTTTTTTTACTTTAACAAGTGTTTCACAAAGATCACTATTACATTGTATTCGTAATAAATAATTAATTGTTGTTGGTCTTAGATTATCATAATTATTTTCATCTATTGA